TCCTCATTTTACCCACCTTGGAAGGATGGAAGACGGAGTCAACCTTGAGCCTGGTGGGATTTGAACTGCTAAATTGCAGTCAGCCAGCAGTCAGCAGAAGTAGCCTGCAGTACTGCACTCTAACCACTGTGCCACCGAGGCTAAAGAAAGTTATCCCATGCAGGAAGAGCATCCCCCAAGCGTTTTCAAATCAAACAGTGAATAGTGAAAGACTGATTATTCCAACTCTCCAATCCAGTGCTGTTCTAACTGGGCTTTCTCAGAAGATTCCGTTAGGAGAACTTTATCAAGGAGATGACTAATAGTGCCCAAACATGGTTGCAGCCAAAAGGGAGCATTAGCTTTGTTCTATGATACTTTTTCATTTCATATAGGGCAGTTATTCTCAGATATCCTGGATGATAACGTCCATTACTCCCAACCTGACCTACGACCAAGAGTGAGGTTGAATGTATCCCTGTCTCACCCCAGAAGAAGTTACAAAATTTCTCATAAAACACAGCAATCACCTGCAACATTTGTTTATGTTCCACCTGTATGGTTTTTATAAAGAACTCAAGATGACAAACATATCTAATATTCCTTCCTCCTCCTATTTTCCCCATAACAGCAACTCTGTAAGGCGAGTTGGGCTGAAAAAGAGGGATTGGCCCAAAGCCACCAAGCTGGCTTTCATGTCTAAGGTGAGACCAGAATTCACAGCCTCCTTGTGATTGGCCCAAGGTCACCCAATTGGCTTTCAAGTCTAGGGTAGGACTAGAACTCACACTCTCCTCGTGATTGGACAAGGCACTCATGCCTAAGGTGGGACTAGAACTTACAGCTTCTTCCTGCTCCCTAGTCTGAAGTCTTAACCACAACTTGCACAGCTCTTATCCAAAAACAGCCTTAATATGAGAATTGCCAAACAGGCAGAGGAGAAGCCTTTCATTTTCTGCTCTAGCTGATACAACAAATAATTCTTTACAGCTAACTATAACTATTGATGAAATTACCTCCGTGCGATACTATGCAAAATAAGGAGATTGTGCTAATGGGCCATTGTCCCACAGGGCTTTACCAGCAGGTCACTTTAACAATAGACAGCAGCCATGAAAACCTGAACTTTATGAATATATAAAAATAATCGACCACTAAATCTTAGGCTGGGTTCACCCAACATACTAGATTAAGCTAACATGAGTGTGATAATCTATGATTCAGCATGGTGTGGGAACCAAGTGATTGTCTTGGTATATTGTGTTACCAGGGCCATTATTCAAGGCATCTTCAGTTTATTTATGTATTTATTAGGTAAATAACATGCCTTTTGTCAGGAACTCAAGGCAGTGTGTGTAGTACTCCCTCCTCTCATTTTTCCCACCTCCCAATGAGGTTAGGTTAAGGGAGAATGACTGGCCCAGTTTGCCCACTGACCTTCTGTGGCTAACGGGATTCAAACTTAGCTCTCTCCCCAATGACAGCCCATTGCCTTATAATGAAGAGTTTCTCCGCCTCAGCAATTTAAGAAGGGTGGCGTTCAGATTTTTTATTTATTAAAAACAATTTAAAAAATCTGCTTTTAAAAAAAGGGAGGTCTACCTCACAGAAGAAGAAGAAAAAGAAGAAGAAGAAGNTTGCTTAGCAACCAAAATGTTGGCTCAGAAACTCTGGCATTTGAAGCACACAAGTCTTAAAGCTGTCAAGTTACAAGACCCTTGCACCCCTAACCTTTTAGAAAAAAAACCTCAGGGGTGTTCAAACTTAAGAGCTTTAAGACTGGTGGACTTCAACTCCCAGAATTCCTCCTCTCGCTCTTAATCCTGATGACGGGCGGACAGGCGGGGGGGAGGGAGCTGGAACCGGTTCTAAATGGCAGTGTAGATTTGTGGAACCTCTTCTATAGAAGAGGTTAGAACTGGCAGGAACCCACCCCTGGTGGAGCCTCCTGCTGCCGCCATTACCGGTTCCCCCGATCCGGGCCGAACTGGGAGCAACCCACCTCTGGTCTGATTGCACTACAGATAGAAGTGAGTTGCTGGGGGTTCACAGGGGTTCAGGAGAACCTCTAGCTAAGATTCTGTGCAGTTCAGAAAACCCCCAAATCCCACTCTTGGCCACCCCCTCCCACTCCATCCCTCCCAGGAGTCCCCAAACAGCCCGTTTTGGATGCAGGAAAGTGCAGGATGCATGCATAGGCCTAGGGAGAGTGAAAAATGGGCCTACCCATTCAGGAAGGCCAGAAACAGATCTGTTTTCATCCTCCAGAGGATCTCCGGAGTCTGGGGAGACCGTTTTCGCCTGGAAGCCCGAAGGAAGCCTCTAGAGCCCAGGAAGAGCAAAAATGCCCTCCCCTGCCATGGTGCAGGAGGCTGACTAGACCACACCCACCATGGCCACGCCACCCAGCAACCGGGCAGAGAACCCCTTGCTGAAATTCCCGAGTCCACAGACCTATATAATGGCATTACATCATTATGACTACCATTTGTATTTATTTATTTGAGTTTTTTTAATTAGCTTAATTTAAAATTTTTGCAAAATGTTACAATCCTGTCATTGTGAGCCAGTCAGTTGTTTGAGTTGGGTAATATAGAATTGAATGAATGAATTAGTTAGTGAATGAAGGAAGAAATAATGAATGAATGAATGAATGAATGAATGAATGAATGAATGAATGAATGAATGACCAATTTTATTTCCAGCCCCTTTTAAAGTCCACCAATGTGAACACTGTGCTTCAATTGTGTTGATTGTGCACATTATCCTAACATTTATATTTACCTACTCAGCATTCTTTCTCTACATGATTTACTAGCCAAAGTCCAAGCTCTCTTTCTGCTAGTGGTAAAGAAGCGATGATTGCAAGGTCACAGAAGGACTAGGCAGAAGACACTGCAGTTACTTAACACCATTTTCACCAGAGTTTGAAGACACTTAAGTCTAAGAAGAAGGCCCACATTGTGTGTCTTCTCCTTAGACTTTGAAGGATGAAATGGGTTGAGAAAGATGTGAGCAAGCAAAGCTGCTTGTCAGGGATTATTCCCTTCTTCTGTATTCATAATTCGTCTCAGAGTCACTTCAAACACTCTCTGACAATGCAAACTTGAAGCTTCTACATCAACTACATAAGCATTTGAATGGCATCAGGGCATCAGGGCTTCTGGGGCTTGAACCTTTACCAAGGAATCTCTTTTCAACACCAAATCTAAAACTGGAATATAGAAAATAAAAATAAAAATGAAGAGGATCCTAAGCAGGTGGAGAATGTCTATGGAGAGTCTCAGTTATCCAGGTCAGGGTTGTCCCAAAGGTGTTTTTTTCAAGAGGCAACTGGACTTTCTGGTTTTTCTTTGGAGACGTTTCGCTTCTCATCCAAGAAGCTTTGGGGAAACAAAACCACTACTTCATAAGTGCATGGCACAACATAGGAGAACAAACACATCAGGACTAGATTCATCAGTCCACCTGCATTTCAAAGACACAGACCATTCTTTTGAAGACAACAAAGTCCACATTTTGGACAGAGAGGACTGCTGGTTTGTAAGAGGGGTCAAAGAGGCTATCTATTGTATGTTAAAATTGAACAGCCTTCTCTTAAAAGGGGAGGAGGGATACAACATCATCTATCTCCAATCTACAACACAGTCATTTCAACAGTTCCAAGAAAGCTCCACACCCATTTGCACCACTCAGGTTACCCTGATGACACAGATAAACCTCCAGGTGCAAATGACCAGCTGTCTGCAAGGAGTATAAGTCCTTCCATTCTCCACCATCCAGTCAGAGCTGAAGCAGCTTCTTGGATGAGAAGTGAAACATCTTTAAAAAAAACCAACAACCAAAAAGTCCAGTTGCCTCTTGAAAAAGCACCTTTGAGAAAAACAGGTGCAGATTTCATTTTTCTGGAGAGAGTCATTAGAT